AGCGTTGCAGCTGTCGATGAGAATCACGCTTCACGGTGTAAAACTCAATCAACAACAACTACGACATTTTTTGGGGGCTGGATTTAAAAAAATGGGAAACCATTGTTCCGTTGTACAAATGTTGTGATTGTCATTGGAAAAAATATCAAATTAGATGTGTATTATTACATTTAAAATGTTTAGTAGTATCTGCTAAGAAAGCCATATTGCATGAAGTTGTCAGAATAAAATTAAGTTTCGCTTTTTTATATTTTGCTTTTAATTTATAGATATATCTTACAATTGATACATTATATATAAAGTGGTACCGACTTTGACTAGAGCTATTTCGGCGATTTATTTATTATATACTGCCACTAATTGCAGGACATAGCTACTTTAACGAATATGACCTTTATTTTAGCTTAAGTAACTCCAGTTCTGACTATCTGCAGATCGTCATCGGTAATGAACTTACCTTAATTTCTTACACATGTGTTTTTTGCAATTGATTTTGAATTACACAAGATGTGTACACAACTACCCAGATTTTGATTACTTATGGATGCATAAGGAAATTAAGCATAAATAAACGGCCATTTCGAGTGACGACTAATGGCACATAAGATGCAGGCTAAAGTTTTCTTGTGTTACTAAATTATTTCATTTTGACACAACACAAATAACAAACAATTGACCGATTCACTTCGCCTGAAATAAGAACCGGATTCAGAAATACAGTTGTGTTTTATCATAAGAAATTCGTCATCTTGTACAAAACACACATTTTCATTTAGAAAATAAAAATATGCGAGTTGCATTTTTTCCAAAATGAAGCAGTTGGTAAAAAAAGACACGCTGTTCAACTTTTACAAAGACAACTTTATAAGTCTGCTAAATTACGCCGCTTACACAGGTCATTTGATAATTAAAAAAGGTAATATCCAGAATGATACAATCAATTAAGTTGAAATGTTGCATGAAAACTAGGAAACTGTGATGGTTATGCTAAATTGTGCATTAATCCTAAGCTTTCACAAATGATTCCTCTTGAAGAAATCAAGCAGTCTTTGGAAATTTTATGCGCACTTAATCGGTAATATTAGACTTATTCACGAAGTGATATCTTTAATTGTGTGCTTTGCATTCACAACAGCGAATTCCCAAACTGAGGTTTAACTCGATTATGAGTAGCCTTGCACAACGTCCCTTTTCGTAGCCATCGATTTGTACAATACCGTACAGAGGTTATTCAGAAAGGTTCATGTTTCAAAGCTTACAACCAAGTGTGCATGTTGAAGTAGAAAAGCAGTGTTAAGTAGTTAATTAAACCGCGATTGTCACCAGATAAAATCCTTCAACAGGCCAGCCTACCCAAAAACACGCTTTTGAATGAACAAGGATCATTAAGGTCCCTTATTGTCTTATTTCAGATTTGTTCAAATTCACAACATCAGGTTTGCCAGTTGGAAAAACGCAACCAGATGTTAGTTAAAAAAATTGACAAAGTGTGCTAGCAAGGAATTGTTTTGTAATGTCTCTCGACAAATACCTTCATCTTCTGTAACATAAAACTACCATTCGGAATTATTTCGAGAAATATTTCTAAGCGTGATGCTGCGGAGTAATCCTCCGCCTGTGCTTACACAAAAATATCGTATCACAGTCCAGGCCCTTTCTGATGAACATCATTCAAATGTTCACGTAAGACTGCACCAAGAGATCCACCCACTTACACCTATAATATTTCAATGTGTTGTTGATTTGATTTGCACTAATAAGATCAGCCACAAGTATTCATCTTGCAGACATGATTGGTGGTTACGATGTTTGGCTGCCTCAAAGTGTTACACGTGCCAAACAAATAGACATTACTCCTCCGCCTTCTAGCAACGTCTAAGCAGTTTCGAAGAAACGATTTAATGAAGGATTAGAAGAAACGACCTCGTAGGAAAGGTGTACTTCTGCAATTTCGTCACGCCATTTGATTTTGATCTGATTATGTTGTGGAATCGGTTTACTCCACACAGCCAACACGGTTTGCATGGGAAATTGCACAATTTCAATTACAATGACCCTGAAGATCAGAGTTCCTATGCAGATTCTAACACTTGTTTTCTGATAGGCCGACCAAAAGCACAAATTTCAGCTTCATCTATGTTAACTTCAGGAGCACGTTTAACTTCATTGACGTACACTATTTAGGCGTTTCGAAGTGTATGCCTTGTTCCAAGTTTTCCTAATGGAAAATTTGTCCTAAAGATTGTAGTTTTCTGCTTTTACGAGACGCCAAAATTACAAAACCATGGCATTGTCGATGAATCTGTTACGAGTAATCATTCCGCGTAAGCATGCATTCCTTGTTGTTCGTCAATGTGTGGACGCACACAACTGACTATAAAATACAGGATGCAGCTAGGCCTTGCTTTCTGATGCATTAGTTCTCCTGTGAGTGTTCAAAAGGTACCATTTATTTTGCTACACTGCGGTCTGCATGCGACGTTGTTTTAATAATTTGATGTATGCACATTCTACAGCAGAATAATTGAGTGGATATTTAATTTTGCTCACAAACGTTCTTACCCACTGAAGGTATCGTCCTTATTGTACTTTTGTGATCTTACTGAAGCTGGATGTAGGTTTCCAAATGATGCTTCTCTGCCATGCGATTTTACTGATCACGTATTCTGTAGCAGCTAAAATGGCTCCTATTTGAAACAAACATCGTGACATTACTGCGGCATTGGCATGCCCATTTCACTTGACTCGAAATTAAAAGTATCTAGCACCATTAAAATAGTCATTAATAGAAAAAGATTTTAAATGTTGTGAACAAATTTTTTAGTACTTTCCTAAGAAAGTCGAGGCGGAAATTCATCAACACATGTTATGTAAGCCGTCAAATTAGAACATAAGCCTCAAAGGTGCCTAGAATTGTATAGCTGTTTAAAAGTACGCAAGTGTGTGTCGATACCCATGATTTTGGACTGCATTTCATTATAGGCAAGGTCCACGCCACCATGCTAGATGGTGTTTAAAAGGTTTTGAGGTCAAGGCCTGCCATCGTGAATTTCCTTAACGCACTTCAACAAACACTCAAATGTGTGGCACATTGCTTACTTGAGGCATTACTCTGTGACAGATCAAAACTACACCAATTGGTTACGATTGCAGTAACATAAAAATTAGTGCTTCGTAAACAAACACTAAGCATTCCTCGTAAAATTATACCACAAATAAACAACGTTCGGTGGTTCGAATATTCTACATCAAAGGAGCTGTTCAAATGTGCAATCGACTAAGCTGGGACGTTAAAACACATAGGAACAATTAGTCTAATGAGACACGCCACATGCTGAAATCGTGTACGACCAAATAACGACACTTCGGCGAATGCAAACTGCTTTTTAATAGGGCTCTCACAATTCGGTACCATCTAAGACTGCCCGAGTTAGAGAGGCAATACGCCAACATGACGGCAAGGAGGCGTGTTAACACATGCCTGATATTACGTGAAGCAGGCAGAAGAGCTGTCATTTCAAGTTTGAAAATTAGGTCAGGAGCTGCAAACAACCGATTGTTTTAACTATTTATCCACGATTCCATCAAATTTGCCACTTTACGCACAGCGACTTGAAGATAAATTTAGAGTAGGGGATAATTGAGTGCGCCACCAACCTACTGCAGTTTGCTTTGCATAGCAACATCTTACGCGAAGTATCATTTATTGAGTTTAATTTGTGATGACGGTCATAGTAGAATAATGCCACCTAACTCAATTAAATTTGGGTTACTTACGTTTTCCAAATTGAAGTTATTGTTATTTTTTGAACCTCATCATGTAAGAGTGATGGAAATGCCAGTCTGTAAGGATTCAGTGAGAGTGGCGTCTAATCATTAAGTGCTGTATCTCTCTCCGATTCTGATCTACTGTGTAAGTAAAACGGTTTGCATATTTTCCAATCAATAATTTTTATCCATCTTTCTTAGTTCGGTCATGCTGACTCGGTGTAGATAGCAATTAAAACTCTAAATCCAACTTACGTAGCTTAAAACCTATCTTTGCTTTCACATTTGCACATTAAGAGAACAGTAATGAATTTGTGTTAATTGCTGTTTGATCCAATGATGGATATTATATATCAAAAGTGGTCTACATACGCCAACATGTAATTAATTTAATGTTTGCATCATGTTCGTCATAAGCCTTAAATTATGTGTTACGCTTTTAGTCTTCATTTCAACTTTGCTCTGTAAGTTTTAAGCAACGTCAATCACAAATTTTAAAACACTGGTGCACCCCAGTTGGCAGTGTAATCGAGGATTGTCGATGCTACGCAGTTACGCTGCTGAAACGTGCACTGCGTTGATTGCAGCTAAAATTTAACCTCTTGTCAGTCAGCATGCAAACGGTAATTCAACTAAGTTGTTTAATCTCGAAAATATCATCTTCATGGACGCTTTAGTAAAGCCGAAATGCATTAAAGAACTAATTTATTTGCTGATGAAATGCAACACAAAGTCCCAGAGCAAATCATAACATCTCAATAGTCATACACCGAATTCTTACTGAATTTTCTTTCGCTTATTTTAAAACAGTACTGTTTATGGATTTTTCTCTGGTTAGAAAGTGCAGTTAATCGTTCCTTCGACAAAATCAAACTGAACAATTCGCCATACTAACTGATGTACCATAATCTTTTCAAGGATTTCAAGGGTATCGTAATGTAATTAACCCCACTTGATAAAGATCCATAACCAGGTACAAAGGAACCGATTGCTTGATTGTAATTGTGCCATAGAAAGAATGATTTATTTCAAACACTTAGATCACATCATTTTGCTTGTAATAAAATAAGTTCTTTATACATTTTAGCCCAAACACCAATTACTTCAAATGCCTTTCGTTTCTGAGTTAGAATATGAATGTCATCAGCATCTCGTAGATTATAGCCTATTCGTTTGTGCTCAATCCGCTCATTATCCAAAGCATATTTCTCAAATATTCAAACAATCAAAGCCTACGAACGGTGGTAAAAGATGGAGCGAATCCAGCACTTCCCCTCGTTACCCGATCGCAGACCTACCTCGTAGGTTGCCGTGTCGTTTTCCTCAGTAAACTCAGTCAGTCCAGGATATAGAAAATCCAACTCACTGCATGATACAGAGAGATGCTGGCATTTGTCAGGTAGGGGATGAAGGCTCATGTGCTTAACATTTTGCGTCCTGGGCAAGCACATGCCCAGGCCCGAGCCTGCAACCAATTCGAGGAACACCCGTTCTCCGTCAGGTACGCGAAAAAGTGTTCCCTCCAAAGGCCGATACATTGGCGCCTGGTCGCCACGTCCATCCAGAAGAACGTCCGTGTCGGCGCTTGCGTGAATGTCTACGTAAGTCTCACACGATCCCATCACTTTAAAGTATGTGGTCATCTTGTGTCCAGTTGGAATGCCTTCACGAAAAGACATGTTCCTTTTCAATTTCTTCCAGGTTTCTGGCTTCATCCACTTTGTGCCTCGTGCACACGCCAATCCCACCGTTGCAGTCATGTTTGCCGGACTGAGATCGAAGATTCGCATTCGACTTTCCCGGTCTGCAGCCAGTTTGAGGAACACTTGTAACGCACGCTCGCGATCTTCACGATGAACAATCAAGTCGAAATTCGCCTCATACGGCACTCTTC